GAGATTGTGAGCGAGGGTGCGAGTGTGCACTGGGTCACTAATTCCTGCAGTGTGAGATTGTGAGCGAGGGTCTGAGTGTGCACTGGGTCACTAATTCCCGTAGTGTGAGATTGTGAGCGAGGGTGTGAGTGAGAGTTTGCATCAGTTCACTAATTCCTGTAGCAACAGAAGGAGTGACATGTTAGCAAAGGAGTTAAAAGTTATTGAGTTACAGATGGGAACATGGAACTGGGGACAGCACCATACTGAACGGTGAAAACGATTCAAAGGCTGAACATCCTACTGTAACAGACTGTAACAAACCGCAACAAATCCCCTCAAACTATTCAGAATCTGGTCTAGACCTTAACTTTCTGTTACTTCAAAGACAAGTGCCAGGTGCTGTGTTCTGGATGCAATTTGATTGGTCAAACTATCAGATTTGAATCAAAACACACTTTGTTCGTACACTATAGTTAAAATACAACAAAAAAAAATGAAGGATGGGAATTAGTTAACTCTAGTGGAAAACTTAACAGAATAATAGATTATTTAACTATTATATAGTAACTGTAGTCCCATAAACACCCTTGGCAAAGGCAAAATAGATTGTCTCACAGGCAATTCTCCCATTCAGGAGGATTAACATCAAGAGAGAATTCTGAGGCAGAGAGTAGCAGGGAGGAATGTACTGTAGCTCCTAAACCCAGCTTTGAGACCCCAGCAGTGACTGCTACTGAGAAACCAAAACTATAAATCCTGGTTCTGTGGGAGATTGTCCCATCCATTCAGGCTGCTTCTATTGTTCCAACTTTAAAAAGAAAAAGCCCCAAGGCCTCAAAAGCCATTTACTTTATGGCTTTCCATAGACAGCTCATACCTCTGTCTTAAAGCCTCTCTTCAATAAAAACAGGACAAAATACACCTCTTAAAGCCATTGTATCATCCCTCCTACTCCTAATTGCTGTGTTTGAGTGCTTCATACCTCTCTGCAGGTGAGGAATGCTCCTCTCAGTCATTATAGACATCCATGTTTTCACATCGGTTCCACGGTTCTTCACTCCAGCTTCATAGAGGGCCTGAGGAGAACCAATTCAACAATGAGCCACCTCAGAAATGGGTGCAGCCCCGGATCTTTACTTTGTATTGTTGTAAGGCAGTGGCTCTACACCTCAAGACTCACCAAACCCTGGGCTAAGGTACCCGAAGGCCAGCCGAAGTCCTGGCCAGTACGGTGCCAGTCCAGTGCTAGTTAAAGGGGGTGAGTGTGAGCAAGAGATGGAGCCATGTTTGACCAACATGTTATTGAAGGTTAACCTACCCGTGCATCCTCATCAATCTGCTCATTATCGACCACGTTGGAGGGCTCTGGACGGTTTCCCTGCACACAGAAAGACCCATGTGAAGTTCACTTCCAGACACAGTCAAATTTAAATCCATGTCACATTTTGTACATACAATTCTGGTTAAACCATGCTGTGTACTGCAGCCTAGTGATGCTCACAGTTACCATTCTGATCACCTTTGCCTCTAGATCTACTCTGTTCCCCTTTATATTCTTTGACTGTTTGTGTATCTTTCTCATTGCGTTTTGGCTGTGTATCCTTGTATGGTCTTCAGCCGCTCCCAGAGATGTGTTCTCCACCCATTCCCTCTCTGATTGGCACTATACAAGGCAGTTGCTTTTGGCAGAATTAGACTGAGAGGTAACGCAGGATCAGGTAAGTGGATCGATTTCACCTTGGGCCACAGAGAGATCCTGGCCCTGACACTCTGCGTTACCAGTGTGGGTGGTGGTGAGCTGCCTTCTGAAACTGCTGCAGTTATCCACAGTGTCCTTAGGGAGGGAATTCCAGGAGGAGACGCAGCAATATTGTCCCAGGTCAGGATGATCAGTGGTTTGGAGGGAAGTGGTTGTGTACTGAATCAATCTTCAAAATGACAAAAGACTGCAGCACTCTCTGTAAGTAACCTAATTTCTGTTTAAATCTGACCAATATGTACTGATTGTAACGAGGCCAGCCAGATGGACCTCATAGAATATGAGTTCCCTTATCATGGCTGTTAACCTGGTCCGATCAGGGAGCCCTGGCTGACTGATAAGAACAAAAGTGTCACAGATACTGACTACCAGGCTCAGAAAGACAAGGACTGTTCATGTGTAAATAAAGGGTGACCTGGTGATGGGCCTCTGTGGACTTATTTCACAATATATCTTTGATAATCAAATCATTACTATCCTAACAATGCTCAGAGGCTCCACGGTCTGTATTTAATCACGTGCCTCATTAAAGACTCAGAGCTCTTTCGACAGCACCTGCCAAATCTGCAACATCTACCTTCTGGAAGGACAAGGGCAGCACGTACACAACCACTTGCAAGTTCCCTCCAAACCACTGATCGTCCGGGCGTGGGACAATATTGCTGCGTCTGCTCCTGGAATTCCCTCCCTGAGGACACTGTGGGTGTCCCTACAGCACCTGGAATGCAGCAGTTTGAGAAGGCAGCTCACCGCCATCCCCCACCAACCTCCCCCCCACCCCCACCCCACCCCCCTCACTGGTAACACAGAGCGTCTGAAGAATGCATTTTGTTGTGGTTCAGTCTGTAATCACTCACTCTCTCACAAATCAAGAATTGCTGACAAACGTCCACCTTTCAGGACATGGGGCACCTCAGAGGGTGCACTGCCATATCATTCCCTCAATAACCCAATACAAAAATGGCATCCAAATGGAGGTGACATCCCATCGCCTAGGGATTAGACAGAACTATCAGGAGTTAGAGTAAATACAGCTCTTTCTCCTTTTAATAAAAGAAACTATCATGAATAGGAAATGTTTGGAGGAGCATGGGCCAAGTGCAGGCAAGTGGGACTAGTTTAGTTTGGGATTATGGTTGGCACGGACTGGTTGGACCGAAGGGTCTGTTTCTGTGCCGTATGACTCTATGACTCTATGAACACGAGCAATCATGAGCAGTGCTGAAAAGAAAGAAGAAATATACAGTTGGATATGGATAGCTTAGGCAATTGGGCCAACATTTGGAGATCAATTTTCACATAGATAAGTATGAGGTTATCCATTTTGGCTGGAGGCATAGAAAGACAACTTATTACCTAAATGGAGAGAAGGGTGATTAGGAAAATAAATGCTGGCCCAGCCAGCAACTTCCACATCCTATGGATGAATAAAAGAAAGTGATCAAAAACAAAGTTGCTGGAAAAGCTCAGCAGGTCTGGCAGCATCAGTGAAGGAGAAAACAATTCTGAGGAACGGTGACCAGACCTGAAACGTTAACTCTGTTTTCTCCTTCACAGATGCTGCCAGACCTGCTGAGCTTTTCCAGCAACTTAGTTTTTATTCCTGATTTACAGCGTCTGCAGTTCTTTCGGTTTTTTAAAAGAAAGTGATCAGTGTATGATAAGTGTAAGCTATTGACGATTAAGGAAGGAAGTGGACAGATTTAAAGATTGATTTATTTTAACTTGGTCAGCTGCAAATTCTTGCTGGGGTAGCTTCACAGTTGGATGATCAGGTTAATTTCTGTCCTGACCAGACAGAGAGAGTTGGTGGGGGTGGGGAGGGGGCTGATGGCTATTGAGGTTTAATCCAGAACCAGGACAGCACTCTATGGGATGTTATTTCCACAGTGAATTCCCTGTCTCTGCCCTGTCTTTGCGAGATTAGATAAGTCCCGCGGAACCTTCACAGAAACAGGGCTCAATGATACTGGGACTCCTCAATTCCACGATTGCAGTCTGGAACAGCCGAATCAGAAAGTCACTATTACGACTTGTAAAGCTGCTGGATAAATGCAAGGGCAAGATAGGAGCCAAATGCCAGCAAAACAGTATGTCCCTGTTAGGGTGAAGGGCAAGGCTGGTGGGTGTAGGGAATGCTGGATGACTGGAGAAATCGAAGTTTCGGCCAAGAAAAAGAAGGAAGCATATGTCAGGGATAGGCAGCAGGGATTGAGTGAATCCCTGGAAGAGTATAAAGGCAGTAGGAGTATACTTAAGAAGGAAATCAGGAGGACAAAAAGGGGACATGAGATAGCTTTGGCAAAAAGGGTTATGGAGAATCCAAAGGGATTCTACAAATACATTAAGGACAAATGGGTAACTAGGGAGAGAATAGGGCCTCTTAAAGATCAGCAACGCTGCCTATGTGTGGCGCTAGAGATGGGGGAGATACTAAACAAATATTTTGCATTAGTGTTAACTGTGTAGAAGGATATAGAAGCTAGAGAACTTGGGGAAATGAACAGCAACATCTTGAAAAATGTCCCAAAATTCAGAGGAAGTGGTGATGCACATCTTAAAATGCATAAAGGTGGATAAATCCCTGGGACCTGATCAGGTGTACCCTAGAACTCTGTGGGAAGCTAGGGACGTGATTGCTGGACACCTTGCTGAGATATTTGTATCATTTATAATCACAGGTGAGGTGCCAGAAGACTAGAGGTTGGCTAACGTGGTGCCAGTATTTTAAAAAAGGTGGTAAGGAAAAGCCAGGGAACTATAGACCGGTGAGCCTGACATCGGTGGTGGGCAAGTTGTTGAAAGGAATCCTGAGGGGCAGGGTTTACATGTTTTTGGAAAGGCAAGGACTGAGTCAGGATAGTCGACATGGCTTTGTGCATCGGAAATCATGTCTTACTGACTTGATTCAGGTTTTTTGAACAGGGAGCGAAGAGGATTGATAAGGAAAGGGTGGTGGAAGTAATCTACATGGACTTCAGTTAAGGTGTTTGACAAGATTCCTCATGGTGGACAGGTTAGCAAGGTTAGATCACATGGAATACAGGGGGAACTAGTTATCTGGATACAGAACTGGCTCAAAGGTAGAAAACAGAGGGTGGTGGTGGAGGGTTGCTTCAGCCTGGAGGCCTGTGACCAGTGGTGTGCCACAAGGATCGGTGCTGGGTCCACAGCTTTTCATCATTCATTTGGATGAGAACAGAGGAGGTATGGTTAATAAGTTTGCAGATGACACTAAAATTGATGGTTGTCATGGACAGTGAAGAAGGTTATCTCAGAGTTCAATGGGACCTTGATCAGGTGGGCCAATGGGCCGAGGAGTGGCAGATGGAGTTTAATTTAGATAAATGTGAGGTGATTCATTTTGGAAAGGCAAATCAGGGCAGGACTTATACACTTAATGGTAAGGTCCTGGGGAGTGTTGCTGAACAGAGAGACCTTGGAGTGTAGGTTCATAGTTACTTGAAAGTGGAGTCGCAGGTAGATAGGAAAGGATAGTGAAGGTGGTGTTTGGTACACTTGCCTTTCTTGGTTAGTACATTGAGTATAGGAGTTGGGAGGTCATGTTGTGGCTGTAAGAGACATTGGTTAGGCCACTTTTGGAATACTGTGTGCAATTCTGGTCTCCATGCTACAGGAAGGATGTTGTGAAACTTGAAAGGGTTCAGAAAAGATTTACAAGGATGTTGCCAGGGTTGGAGAGCTCGAGATTTAGGGAGAGGTTGAATAGGCTGGGGCTATTTTCCCAGAGTGTCGGAGGCTGAGGGATGAATTCATAGAGGTTTATAAAATGATGAGGGACATGGATAGGGCGAATAACCAAGGTCTTTTCCCTGGGGTGGGGTAGTCCAGAACTAGAGGGCATAGGTTTAAGGTGAGAGGGGAAAGATTTAAAAGGGACCTGAGAGGCAACTTTTTCATGCAGAGGGTGGTGTGTGTATGGAATGAGCTCCCAGAGGAAGTGGTGGAGGCTGGTACAGTTACAACATTTTAAAGGCATCTGGATGGCTACATGAAGAGGAAGGGTTTTGAGGGATATGAGGCCGATGCTGGCAAATGGGTTTAGATTAATTTAGGATATCTCGTTGGCATGGATGAGTTGGACCAAAGGTTCTGTTTCCATGTTTACATCTCCATGATCCTAAGTCAAATGTTTAACGTATAATTAGGGATATACCTTTGCTAGGGCACAAAGAAGCTTGCAGAAATCTCCAGAAGTATCCTCCTTGATGTCCTTAATCATATCTTTCTTGTAAACTGCAAACAGAAATATTTTACAAACAATAAAAAAATATTGTTTGCCAGGGGGGGGGGGGGGGGGGTGTTGTTTAATATTGTGGGAATATTTCTTCCATCATTATCACTCTACCATCTGGGTGAAAAATGGTCATGAAAACCATGGTAATTGGAGGAATTTGAATTCAATTAATAAATCTGGAATATAAAGCCAGTCTCAGTTATAGGGACCATGTAAGAACCATTAGCAATTGTTGTAAAAGCTTATATCTGGTTCACTAATGTCCTTCAGGGAAAGAAATCTGCCGTTGTTATCTGTTCTGGCCTACATGTGACTCCAGACCCACAGCAATGTGGTTGGCTCTCAACTGCCCTCTGGGCAATTAGGGATGGGCAATAAATGCTGGCCCAGCCAGAGATGTCCAAATCCCATGAAAGAACAAAAAAAGAGAATCCTGAATGAAGATGTCAGAACATTATAAACTTGTTTCTCTAATATTCTTATATTAGAAGGGGTGGCACGGTGGCTCAGTGGTTAGCACTGCTGCCTTACAACACCAGGGACCCAGGGCCAATTCCAGCCTCCTGTCTGTATGCAGTTTGCACGTTCTCCCCGTGTCTCCATGAGTTTCCTTGGGGTGCTCTGGTTTCTTCTCCAGTCCAAAGGTGTGCTGGTTAGGTGGATTGGCCATGCTAAATTGTCCCATTGTGTCCAGGGATGTGCAGGCTATGTAGGTTAGCCATGTGAAATGCAGGGTTAGGTTGGGGGTAGTTAGGTTGGGGTACAGACTTGATGGGCTAAATGGCCTCTTTCCACACTGTTGGGATTCTATGGTTCTTGCGGCTGCTGTTTAATGGAGAAGGTGACCTATTTAAACAGAACAATACAGTTAAGGTCAAAACATTGAATGTTTTCAGGAAAAAGTCAGATAGAGTTCTGAGGGATAAAGTGACCAAAGGGTATGGGGTAAAACCAGGAACAGGGTAATGATTGAATGATCATATTGATTGGTGAGCAGGCTCTAAGGACTGAGTGGCCTACTCCTGGTCCCGATTTCCACGTTTCTATATGTTCACTACACCAAGCAGAAAGGTCTATATGATATTCTGAATCTGTCTGGAGTACAGAGATGGTTTCACTTGGCACAAAAATCTCAATAGAGCATCAAGCTCAACTCTGAGCCCTATCCCCTAGCAGGCATATGGTTCTGGAACAGGGAGGGCTGAATTATAAGAGTAAGTTAAATCGACTTGGTTCGTATTCATTTGGTTACAGAAGATGAAGTTGTGAGCTAAATAAATTTTTTTTTTACTTATTCATTCACAAACTGGAGTGTCACTGGCTGGCCCATCATTTACAGCCTATCCCTAACAGCCCAAGGGAAAGTTGGTTCTGAATTGTCTTCCAGGATTGCTGCAGTCCTTGGCTGTAGATAGACACCCAACGCTGTTCAGGATTTTAATCCAGCGACAGCGAAGGAACAGTGATATATTTCCAAGTCAGGATGGTGAGTGGCTTGGAGGGGAACTTCATGGTGGTGATGTTCCCATGTATCTGCTGTGGGCCTGGACGCATGTAGATGAGCCCAGGTAACTGTCAAAATATGAGTAGAGTTTTCAGAGCAGATTTTTGGAAGTGGATTGGCCTGAAACCTCTTGAATGAGATGGAAGCGCTTTAGATAAAAAAAAAACTCTTTATTGAGCCTTGTAGTTAAAGAGCATCTCACAGCCAGGGAAAAGCCTTAAGGAAGATTTTCACAATGTTTAGTTAACATAACATGGCCCTGTGTGCCAATTTCATTTAGATTATGCAGAAAGACTTGCTGTTTTCACCACATATCACTTTGGCTTAAATACTGCAAGCATGATTAGAAACTCTGTGACTGATACAAAAATTACCAGTGTAGGTTTACGGTGAGCAAGACAGCTGTAGACTGCTAGAAGATAACAATTAACTAGCCAAGTGGGTGACCTAGTGAGAAATGGAGTGCACTCTAGCAATGCTTTTGGGCAAGGCTAACAGGACAAGGAACTACACACAAATATTTGGGGTCTTCTGGTACAATGGCAGTGCCCCTATCTCTGGCTCTGGAGACCAGGTTTCAAATTCTAACTGCTCCATATGTTTCACAGGGAGGTGATGGCCTAGTGGTATTATCGTTAAACGATTAATCCTGAGGCTCAGGTAATGTTTTGGGGACCCTGGTTTGAATCCTTCCACAGCAGATGGTGGAACTTTAATTGAGTAACCAAAAAAATCTGGAATTAAGGATCTAACGATGGCCAAGAATCCATTGTCAACTGTTGGGAAAAAACCATCTGGTTCGCTTTAGGGAAGGAAACTGCCATCCTTACCTGGTCTGGAATACATGTGACTACAGACCCACAGCAATGTGGTTGACTCTCAACTGCCATCTGGGTTTTTAAGAATGAGTAACAAATGTGGGTCTGATTTACATTCCAAAAGTGAATAAAAAGAAGTGTGGAATAGAATATCAATTTATCATTTGTATTTTCGCAATAAAACGTGAGAAGTGTTTAAATCACCATAAGCACAGGAGCAGGAAGAAGGCCATTCAGCCCCTCGAGCCTGGTCCACCATTCAATATGATCATGGCTGATCCTTCTCATGGACTCAGCTCCACTCACCCATTTGCTCACCATAACCCTTAATTCCTTTACCGGTCAAAAATCTATCTTTGCCTTAAAACCAGTCAATGAAACAGCCTCAATTACTTCACTGGACAGGGAATTCCACAGATTCACAACCCTTTGGGTTCCTTTATTCATTCATGGGATGAGGGCATTGCTGGCCAGGCAGCATTTATTGTCCATCCCTAATTGCCCATACAGTCAACCACATTGCTGTGGGTCTGGAGTTACATGTAGGCCAGACCAGGTAAGGATGGCACTTTCCTTCCCTAAAGGGCATTAGTGAACCAGATGGGTTTTTCTGACAATCGACTCATGGTCATCATTAGATTCTTAATTCCAGATATTTATTGAATTCAAATTCCACTATCTGCAGTGGTGGGATTTGAACGCAGGTTCCCAGAATACTAGCTAGGTCTCTGGACTAACATTCCAGCGATAATACCAGTAGGCCATCACCTCCCCTTTTAGGGTGAAGAAGTTCCTCCTCAACTCAGTCCTAAATCTGCTCCCTCTTATTTTGAGGCTTGGCCCCCTAGTTCTAGTTTCACCAGCCAGTGGAAACAACCTCCCTGCTTCTACCTTATCTATTCCCTTCATAATTTTATAACGTGTACAGGTACAGAATAACTGCTTCGTGTGAAGACTTTAACTGACAAGGAAGACACAGACCAAACTCACACCTAGGAGGACAAGGGAAGCCAACACATGACAACATATTGCAGTACATACACGGACCACCTGCAAGTTCCCCTCCAAGCCACACGCCACCCTGACCTGTAACTACATCACCATTCCTTCAGCGTCACTGGGTCAGATTCCTGGAACTTCCTAACAGTGCCGTGGGTGTACCTATACCTCAAGGACTACAGCGAATCAAGAAGGCAGCTTATCCCAATCTACTCAAGGTAAATAGGGACAGGTCATAAATGCTGATCTAGCCAGTGACATCTACATCCTGCGAACAAATAGATTAAAATAAAATTGAATAGGCTAAGTTTGGTTTTCTTTTGAACAGAGGAGGCTGAGGGAAGATTGAATAATGATGAGTAACCAAGATAGAGTGGGTGTTCAGACAAAATTTCTCCCCACTTACCCTCTTGGTAGGTCACATTCATATCCTGGATTTCCTTGTTTGTGCGAGAGCACAGGATCTCAATCAGAGTGGCTTCATTGGTTCCCAAACCCTATGGAAAGAAGATTTTAAAACTCATTACCTTTTTATTGGTAAAATCACATGAATGTACATCACAGATAGTAGGAACTGCAGATGCTGGAGAATCTGAGATAACAAGGTGTAGAGCTGGATGAACACAGCAGGCCAAGCAACATCAGAGGAGCAGGAAGGCTGACGTTTCGGGCCTCAGGCTGCTTGGCCTGCTGTGTTCATCCAGCTGTACACCTTGTTATCTCAGAATGCACATCACATCAAAGGTACTCAGCAGAAATTATAAGCCGTTTACAGCTTGCATTAGAACTCAGCGTGTGGAAGGGAGAATGGGAGGTTCATCCAAAGGATCTTTCTGTGCCCACTGAATCTGGTGTCTCAGACGCTCATGGATCTGTACATTAACAATTTTCGATAAATCTCCCGTGCCACAGCCAACAACCACCAGATAGTGCATCAGGATCTGACTTGCTGCCTATCATTGGGAAGATTACAGGGAGACATTGAATGTCAGGATCATCTTACAGGATGGACGACTTGAAAATTAATTCCCTTGTAGCAAGCCATCCGGCCTCTGGGTGAGTGAACACCATCACTGAGCCAGTGTGACAGATAACAAGGGGCAAATGTCTGTGTGATGAGTGAGTGTGAGCAATCTGAGAGTGTGAATTGTTTTTGTACCTAGGTATGGTACTATATTCCTGTGAGATGGCATTTGGTCATCTTGTTATCTGTCAGTTACAAGCTCCTCCTGATGTGTAACAAGTGTACTTGTGCAGATGTGCGACTTTGTATGTCCCAGGGACACTGTACACACAAACCTGTCTATGTGTGCCTGCATGCTAGTGTGCAGCTGTGTACATGAGAGTATGAGTGCACAAGTGAGAGTCTGTAAGTTAAACTCAAATGTCATCCTGCGAATGAATCTCAGAGACCGCTTGTGTCTGGGTGTGAGAATGAGTGTGTGTGAGTCAGAGAGTCAATGTGCATGAGTGTGTGCTCACACATGTGTGAGAGAGAGAGGATTATAGTTTGATTGAAGGTGACAGAGTGATTGTGAGTTTGAGACAAGTAAGGGAAAGTGAAAAGGGTGACAGTGGTAGCAAATCTCTGTTTGCAACATACGTCCAATATATAAAAGGTGTACTTGTGACAGCATGTGTAAAGTGCAGATGTGTTTTTATGTATGGTGAGAGACATAGGGCATTGTGTGGACATGAATGTGTATAAATGCGTGAGCATGATAGTATGTGTATGTGTGTGTGTTTGAGAGAGTGATAGCATGCATATATGAGTGTGAAGAGATGTTCTGATGCTCTCCCTGTTTCCTTTGTGCTGTAACTCGCACCTCCCGGTGTCCAGGGAACAATGAGGTAGGGGTTGGTTCCAGATTGTTCTGGGTTGGGTTGGTTGCAGATGAGAGTGGCCTTGAGGAGCAGGCAGGGTCTGAAACTCTTGCTCCTCTAGGACACTTGCTGTGCTACAGAACGGCCAGGTTTTGAGCAAAAATTGTCTCTCAGATCTCTTTAACCTGGTGAAACTCCACCTCTCTCTGTGTGGGGAATTGGGGAGAGTGGGATTAGGGCATGTGGGAATTAGGGAGGAGTTTGGTTGGATCTTGTCCTACATCTGGAAAACTCGAACACATCTCCTTCTCCGCTGCCTTTTATCTCTCAAGGTATTCTACGTACTCTCATGTCTGGTAGTACTTCATGGTTCCCACACCTCTACCTAGTTTGTTTAAACCCTCCCTACTGGTCTAGGAAATCACCCCATAAAGACATTGGTTCAGACTGAGATTAGATTTTGGCTGATCTGCACCTCAACTACATTTTCCTGCCACATTTTCTATCATCACCCTAACTCAACAAAAAAAACATTAAACCCAGGCTTGAGAGTTCTAATCAAACAGTTTTTGTTGGGTGGGACAGTTCTAGCTTTGAACTCTCCCCTGTTTGATGAAGTGTTTCCTGCACTTACCCCTAAATGGCCTGGTTCACATTTTAACTCTATGTTCCCCTTCTTTGTGGCTGCCTGAGCAGGAGGAATAGTTTCCCACCATTTCGCAGTGGCTCAGTGGTTAGCAGTGCTGCCTCACAGCGCCAAGGACCCGGGTACAATTCCACCCTCGGGCGACTGTCTGTGTGGAGTTCGCACATTCTCCCCGTGTCTGTGTGGGTTTCCACCGGGTACTCCCACAGTCCAAAGATGTGCAGGTTAGGGTGGATTGGCCATGCTAAATTGCCCCATAGTGTGCAGGGATGTGGAGGCTAGGTGGGTTAGCCATGGGGAAATGCAAGGTAACAGGGATGGGGCAGGTCTGGGTGGGATGTTCTTCAGAGGGTTGGTGGGGACTCAATGGGCCGAATGGCCTGCAACCATGCTGTAGGGATTCTATAATCTACCCTATTGAATTTTTCAATGATTTTAAGCATCTTGAACAATTCACACCATAATCATACTAAACCCTAAGGATTACAAATGCTAGTCAGTGTAACAGGCTCCTGCTCAGGGAGCAGCAGGGGAAGTAAGAGGGAACTGTCCCAATTTAAACCCCTTCTGCCACAATCCCACCAACCAACCTCCCCCAGCCAGGGAACCTCCCGGTCAAATCCTCACCTTAACTGCACCTCGCACTTCAGAGGCATCGTATTTGACTGGAGTCTTCAGCAACCCCAGGATGACAGATCGCAGAGGATCAGAGAGAGCAGAGTGCAGTTTATCCTCCAGTTTCTGCAGAAATGAGAAAAAACATTTAACGGCGACCAAGTCAGCACACAGAGGCACATCCGGGGAGAGTGAGTACACATTGCTCACTGAGAGAGAGAGACAGAGAGAGAGAGAGAGAGAGCGAGGGGGAGAGAGAGGGAGAAAGAGACAGATAGAGAGAGGGAGAGAGGCAGAGAGAGAGAGAGACAGAGAGAGAGGCAGAGAAAGAGAGACAGATACACTGACAGAGAGAGGCAGAGAAAGAGAGACAGATACACTGACAGAGAGGGGCAGAGAGAGAGAGGCAGAGAGACTGAGAGAGAGAGACAGAGAGAGAGGTAGAGAAAGAGAGACACAGAGAGAGAGACAGAGACACTGACAGAGAAAGAGGCAGAGACATTGACAGAGAGAGGCAGAGAGAGAGAGAGGCAGAGACACTGAGAGACAGAGAGAGAGACAGAGACAGAGGCAGAGAAAGAGAGACACAGAGAGACAGAGACACTGACAGAGAGAGGCAGAGAGACTGAGAGAGAGAGAGACAGAGAAGCGGAGAGAGAGAGAGAGACAGAGACACTGAGACAGAGACCGAGACAGAGAGACAGAGAGAGAGGCAGAGAGAGAGACAGAGAGAGTGAGAGAGAGAAAGAGCGCAACAGGGCAGACAATCAGCACAATGAGGGAGGTTATACCTAATAGCAAACCGTGCATTATTAAAAAGAACATAACAGAATGATACAAGGAAGAAGGTGAGAAACCAATAGGTTCCAAGCTGGAAATTTGAGACTCAAGCCATTTACAAATCCAGAAAAGATTTAGAAATAGGCAGCTGTATAACAACAGTTTATATTTATGTCAGAGGTATCTATTTACTTGATATTTCCTTTGCATCCTCTAAAGGACGTTTACAGTCTTCCTGATGTGTAGTGACCAGACTGAACCCAATTCTTCAGTTGAGCTCATTACAAAGTAATTGCACTGTTTTTGTACTGAGTACCTCAATTTATGAAGCCCAGAATCCCATGAACTCTTCGATCTAGTCTCTCAATATGACCTGCTGCCTTCAAAGATCTAAGCACACACACCCCGTATCTCCCTAGAATAATGGAATCATACAGTACAGACCAGACCCTTTGGTCTTCAATTGATTTCTTGAGATCCCTTGTAATTTCTATACTCCTCTAGAGTCTCAGTTGTTTTGATTTGCTTGTGTCTGTTATAAGTCTCTCTTTTCCTTTTTATTCAGTCCTGAATATTCCTGGTTATCCAGGATTTTCTAGACTTGTTGTTCCTACATTTCACCATAAAGGGAACATAGAGTCATACAACTGTACAGCATAGAAATAAACCCTGCAGTCCAACCATCCAACCGTTTATGCCATCCAGACATTTTAATTTAATCTAACCCCATTTGCCAGCATTTAGCCCATATCCCTCTAAACTCTTCCCATTCATATATCCATCCAGATGCTTTTTAAATGTTGTAACTGTACCAGCCTCCACCACTTCCTCTGGCAGCTCATTTCTGTGCGTGAAAAAGTTGTCCCTTAGATCCATTTTAAATCTTTCCCCTATCCCCTCCCAACTTAATCCTGTGCCCTCTAGTTTTGGACTCCCCTACACTGGGGAAAAGATCTTGAATATTCACCCTATCCATGCCCCTCATGTTGGGCCTGTACTCTCCCCAGTATCTTTTTGAACGCTTCCCACTATTCTGCTGTAGATTTACCCTCATGTAGTTGTTCCCAGTCTATTTTCACCAGGTTCTGCTATTTTGTAAATAAAATCTGCCTTACCCCAATCCAAAACCCTTTATGGCAGACCATCGTTGTCCTTTTTCAAACCAAACATAAAACATATAGTGTTTTGGTCACTGTCACCTCAAAAACCTGCATTCCCCAGAATTATGCCCATCACTACACCGTTCCTGTTGGACTACCAACATGTTGATGTAAAATGCGCCCTTACACTCCCGTTAGAACTGAGCCATTCAGTCTGTTTTGCTTGTCTCTATACTTTCTGCCAAAATACACAACCTCACCTTTCTCTGTAATCATTTTAATCTGCCACTTAACTAAAAGCAAAATGCTGCAGATGCTGGAAATCTGAAATTAAAACAGAAGCACTGGAGAAATTCAACAGATGTGGCAGCATCTGTGGAGAGAAACTAGAGTTAGCAGTTTGAGTCCAGTGATCCTCCTTCAGAACATTAACTCTGCTTCTCTCTCTCTCTCTCTCTCTGCAGGTGCTGCCAGACCGGCCGAGTTTCTCCAGCATTCTCTGTTCGTTTTTAAATCTGCCACTGTCTGCCCTTTCTAAGTTTGTTGCAATAAAGGTCAGAGGCTGGTTTGAGAAACTCAAGCCTGATGGCACTGGTGGAGAGAGAAACGGGTGTAGTGTGCTTGAAATTGAAAAGATGACTGGTCTCTGATAGAGTGTGCGAGTTCATGTGTGCGCGTTCTGGAGCAGTGCTGGGGAGAGAAGGAATCATAAGGTCAATGGGGGTTAGAAAGTTTCAAATCAAATGAAACTGCTTATGAGGCAGAGCCTTTGTGATGGAAGACATTACAGAATGAAAGAGGTGACACTGAACCACCACAGAGCGTGTGATTTCACAACATGCAGAATCCACTCCTTCAGTTCTGATATCTTTGTTGCTGACTCCTCCCTGATCTGAACTGATTAATCTAACCTGAGACTGATGTGGCAGTCACCATCTCTTTGCTATCGCTTGAAGTAGAAAAAGTACAGCCATGACTAAATTGACCAGAATTATGGCATTTCCTGCAGCACAGACACAGTTTAATGGGGAATCTTGTGGTGCATTGGTAGTGTCCCTATCTGTGGTTCAGAAAACTTGGGTTCAAGTCCCACCTGCTCCAGAGATGTCTGAACAGGTGATTAAAAATATCTAAATGTATCAGTCATCCAGCAAATCTCAGCTATAATGAAAAGAGGCCTTAGAGGGTTTAGATATTGGAGGTGAACAGGTACTTAAATTGCATCTAAGTCTCAAGTACAAAATAACAGGAACAGCCTGTTTGCCCAGCTGGCCTGTGCCTGTCTTTGCGCTGTAAGTTGAACGTCGCCCAAAGTCACTCTATCCTCATTCTTTAAATTCTCTCCTTCACACAGAAATTCAAATAGCTGGGAGACAGTGAGTTTCGCATTCTCATAGTGACCACTATTTCAGCTGTTGGATTTGGGTTTGTTTGCATCCACACTGCAGTGGTATTAACAGATGTGACGTGACCATGCCAATGTCACATCAGAGTTAAATTTAATCTATTCATCTGACATTATAAACCAAATTAATCCTCTGCTTTTTCCCCCTCCCCAATTTCCTTCTGTTCTTCTCCCTCATCTGGATTCCTCGTCATTTTCTTCCTCCCGCCATCTCCCTTCTATCACCCCAATTCCCCTCCAATCCCCTCCTTCCCATTTCCCAACTTGGCCTCCATTCCTCTCCCTCCATCTCTCCACTTCCCCTCTCTGCACCCATCCATTTCTCCATTTCCCCTCCCTCCATCATTCCCCCATTTCCCCTCCATCCCCCCACTTTCCCTGCATTCTTCTCCCTCCTTCCCAAGTCCCCTCCATTCCACTCCTCCCCTCCTTTCCCCTCCATCTCTCCATTTCCCCTCCATTCGTCCCTCCTGCCTCATCTCCCCTCCCAATCTCTTCATTTCTCCTTCTACGTCACCCCGAGGAATATTGCGTGCACGGACTTTTATTGGTCCTTTGACCTCTCAGAGTCCTGCCCCAGGTGCTGTGTTCTCTGTTGAAGGTCAGCCTGCACTTGCCAGCCTCTGGGATATTTAACACTCTACCCATTTACTGGTTGGAAGGCTGACTGATCAGTAACCAAGACGTACTCACCTGCTTTGTTCTCCTTTCGTAACAAAAGGCAATGTCCTGTCGTTGTGCATTGCTACACTTCGTCAATACATCGATGATAGAATGCTCATCCACACCTAGCACAGGGAACAGAATATTACAGCTTCAAGTCCTTGCATCAGCAATTTACCTGAACTCTGCAGGACAGAGCTCAGGTAACAGACTCAGAACAGCCCAAAACCCCTTGACATCCAATGAAGTATGTTTGAAGTAAGATCACTGTTTGTGCAACCAACAGTGGTAAGAATCATAGAATTCCAGGAGCAGGGGTGTAGGAGAGAAGGCCACTCAGCCCACTGACCATTCCACCCAGCCCCTCCCACCCCCTGTAACTCCACATTTCCCATGGCTAATCCACCTAGCCTGCACATCCCTGAACACTGTGGGGCAATTTCCCATGGCCAATCCACCCTAACCTGCACATCTTTACATTGTGGGGGGAAACCGGAGCACCCAGAGGAAACCCACGCAGACACGGGGAGAACTCGCAATCTCCACCGAGGGTGTGATCCCTGGCGTCCTGAGGCAGCAGTGCTAACCACTGAGCCACCGTGCCACGCCCCAAGCTCCTGCAAACAGAGACAAAATAATGAACCAATATTGCTGACAAAAAGGAGCATGATGTCGAAGGTTTTTGACTTGTGTTCATCATGAGTCAATCAAAGGGCACCAAGATTGATCAGGAATTTACACTGCCTGAGAAAAAGGGAGATGATTGGATGGCCAGTGGACTCTGATTGGTCAGGAGTTGCCAATGGAGCATGCACCAGGGAACAGAAAACCTCCAAACTTCTGGTCAAATACAAAAAAACTGCAGGTTGGCTCAGACTGGTCAAGCCATTGCCATGGATAATTCGTCGAAAAAGATGCAGTGCCTTAATTGCTTTCAATTTAACAAAAGCTTGGGGAGTAACCGCCAACCACCCCCACCACCATGCAATCTCCATGGCAACAGTTCAACCAAATTCCACTTGCCAACCAACCAGTTCCCCTTTTTCACATGCACTACAAATTGTCATTCCTTTTGAAATGTGGCATTCTTGTATCTTGTTCTGATGAGACAAACAATTTCTACAGTGTGCATCTTTTCTCAGCAATGCTCACGTTCTGAACAATCGGGTGACTATTGAGCCAATAATCAGTTTTTGACAATTTTGGTCGAGGGATAAATATTGTCCTGATCGCTGAGGAGAAATTCCCAGTTCTTCTGCGAGCTAACGCTGTGGAATCCTATTCCCAGATGTGGGCCTCAGTTTATCTACACTTCTCGTTGAGACAGAAAGGCAGACAACATCATTAAAGGCCCCTCTGACTCTCGTTATACTCTCTTCCAAATGCTTCCATCAGGCATAAGATACAGAAGCTTCAACATACGAAGCTACAGGTTCAAGAACAGCTTCTTCCCTGCTGTTATTAGACTGCTGAATGGATCTCTCAAATTTCAAATCTAACATTGATCTTGCTTTACGGACCTCCTGTGCAGTGTAACGTGTATCCCTTGCTCCGTCTAAGCACCCAATGATCTGTATGTCCTTGTTTGCCATGATCTGCCTGTACGGCTCGCGAAACAAAACTTTTCACTGGATGTGTGACAACGATAAAACAAATCAAATCTGAAGGCAGCGTATTTTCAACAGTGCAAGTCAGGCCAGAGTCACACTGCTCTAGTCTGTGGAGAGTACCTGCATCAGGTCTTACTGACTCTGAGGTAAGGTTGAGATCAAGAGTGAGTTTGGATAATGTTTGGAGGAAATGCAGGCTGAACACACTGCGGGTTGAAGGATTTCAGCCTGGACCGTGACTGCAAAACACAGTCCCCGACTGGCGCAAGCTCATTCTTGGCACTGATCCAAAGCCAGGAGCTTACCTTTGACTTTAATAGCCCGTTCCAGCTCCACAGCTTCATTTTCTGCATTGAAATTAACAGCTGGTTTCACTGTGGCTCCATCAGAAAGCTGAAAGACAAGGTAAGGAGTTTACAACTATATGTCACTATGTCACAACCCTGGGGATCATCTCATCCCAATCCTCGGAATCCTGCTACCACAATCTCAGAAATCTCCTCGGTCACAATCCTCGGAAAGTCACAATCCTGGGAATTCCGTCATTAAAGTCCCAGCAAACCCCTCAGGCATATTCCAGCGAGTCCCACCCACATCACAACAATTCTGCCAAGCCAACCACTTTTATTGATGGATTTCTGAGCAAGTTTCCACGTTTCAAAAGATTGCTGGGGAAGTGAAAGCCATCTTTTGAATTTGGTTTACTCTCCCAGGGAGACCTCATTGGATAGCTGGGCTGATGAGAGAGCAGTCATAGTCTGAACTTGTTGCTCGCAAACAGCTCATTGCAAATTCTGCCCCTCTCTGAGATTTTAATGGATGCAACCCGACAACAAGTGATCAATGAACTTGGACATAAAATGTAGACAGGAGGAGATGTTTCATTTTTATTTTATAAATTAAGGAGGCCTACACTTGGTAACATATTGTAATTATTTGTATGCCAAGATGTTCATAATTTTCAAAACTCATAGAATCCCTACAGTGTGGAAACAGGCCATTTGGCTCAACAGGTCCACAATAACCCTCTGAAGAGCATCCCACCCAGACCCATTCCCCAACCCCGGCATTTCCCCATGTATAACCCAAACATCCCCGAACACTATGGGGCAATATAGCATGGCCAATCCACCTAGCCTGCACATCTTTGGGCTGTGGGAGGAAACCGGAGCACCCGGAGGAAACCCACACAGACACAGGGAGAATGTGCAAACTCCACGCAGACAGTCGCCCGAGGGTGGAATCAAACCCAGGTCCCTGGTGCTGTGAGGCAGCAGTGCTAACCACTGAGCCACCATGCCACCCCGTCTTATAGCTTTATCCCATTCATTAGTTGCTTGTCACTATATTATTAATTATCATTCCTTGTTATGTTTGTATCTCTCAATCTGTCCAATGCTGTCTATGGCCCTTCACTCAACTGCTTTCTATAATTAAATGTAGTGACCTTCAAACCTACAGCACAAATGCATCCAATCCCAACACGCATCAAAAACGTCTGAAGCACAAACTCTGAAAGCTTACTGGAGAGTCAGCCAGAATTCAATCAAGTCAGTGCCTCCAATTTAGACTGGTTGGATTGGCCATGCTAAATTGTGTATTGTCTCCAAAGATGTGCAGGTTAGGGTGGATTGGCCATGCTAAATAGCGTATAGTCTCCAAAGATGTGCAGGTTAGGGTGGATTGGACATGCTAAATAGCGTATAGTCTCCAAAGATGTGCACGTTAGGATGGATTGCCCATG